AGACATCTAGGTTAATATTACTGAGGGTGTCCCTGTTGATGAACAGGGGCAAAAAGATGAGGAGTCCGGGTTTAGACATTTGGTCAATTTTCGAGGTATGTCCCCCGTTATGACATTCCAAGTTAAAATTTTGAGGGAGTCCCGTGAGACATTAGGTTCATATTTTGAGGGGTGTGTCCCTTCTGATGACATTGGGGTTTTATTACGAGGTATGTCCCTGTCTGTGACATTAGGTTCGATTATTGAGGGTGTCCCCGCTGATGACATCTGGTTTATATTACTGCGGTGTGTCCCTGTCTGATGACATCAGGGTTATATTAAAAGAAAATTTTTCCTTTTTTGAAAATCAGGTTTTGATTTAAAGAGAAGTTGTCTGATGACATCTGGTTGATTAATGATGAAGTCCCGTCGATTTTATTAGGTTTATATTATGCGGTGTGTCCCGTCGATGAATCTAGGTTATATTTCGAGGGGGTGCCCGTCTGATGCATTAGGGTTTATATTAGGTTTGTCCCGTCTGATGCAAATTTAGTTATATTACTGAAGGTGTCCTTGGTCTGATGACATCAGGTAAAAACTTAGGTTTTTTCCCTGTCTGATGACATCTAGGTGTCAATTACTGTCCCTGTCTGATGACATCTAGTTTATCATTACTGAGGTGTGTCCCTGTCTGATGACATTAGGTTCAATAATACTGTCCCTGTCTGATGACATCTAGGTTCATATTACTGAGGTGTGTCCTGTCTGATGACATCTAGGTATATATTATTGATGTCCCTTCTGATGACATCTAGGTTCATATTACTGAGGTATGTCCCTGTCTGATGACATCTAGGTTCATATTATTGAGGTGTGTCCCTGTCTGATGACATCTAGGTTCATATTACTGAGGTGTGTCCCTGTCTGATGACATCTAGGTTCATATTACTGAGGTGTGTCCCTGTCTGATGACATCTAGGTTCATATTACTGATGTGTGTCCCTGTCTGATGACATCTAGGGTCATATTACTGTCCCTGTCTGATGACATCTATGTTAATATTACTGAGGTGTGTCCCTGTCTGATGACATCTAGGTTCAAATTACTGTCCCTGTCTGATGACATCTAGGTTCATATTACTGAGGTGTGTCCCTGTCTGATGACATCTAGGTTCATATTAATGAGGTGTGTCCCTGTCTGATGACATCTAGGGTCATTTTATTGAGGTGTGTCCCTGTCTGATGACATCTAGGTTCATATTACTGAGGTGTGTCCCTGTCTGATGACATCTAGGTTCATATTAATGAAGTGTGTCCTTGTCTGATGACATATAGGTTCACAATAATGAGGTTTGTCCCTGTCTGATGACATCTAGGTTCAGATAAATAATCTATGTCCCTGTTTGATGACATCTAGGTTCATATTATTGAGGTGTGTCCCGGTCTGATGACATCTAGGTTCATATTAATGATGAATGTCCCTGTCTGATGACATCTAGGTTAATATTACTGAGGTATGTCCCTGTCTGATGACATCTAGGTTCATATTATTGAGGTGTGTCCCTGTCTGATGACATCTAGGTTCATATTACTGAGGTGTGTCCCTGTCTGATGACATCTAGGTTCATATACTGATGTGGTCCATGTCTGATGACATTCTAGGGTCATATTACTGTCCCTGTCTGATGAATCTATGTTCATATACTGAGGGTGTCTGTCTGATGACATCTAGGTTCATATTACTGAGGTGTGTCCCTGTCTGATGACATCTATGTTCATATTACTGAGGTGTGTCCCTGTCTGATGACATCTATGTTCATATTACTGAGGTGTGTCCCTGTCTGATGACATCTAGGTTCATATTACTGAGGTGTGTCCCTGTCTGATGACATCTATGTTCATATTATTGAGGTGTGTCCCTGTCTGATGACATCTAGGGTCATATTATTGAGGTGTGTCCCTGTCTGATGACATCTAGGTTCATATTAATGAGGTGTGTCCCTGTCTGATGACATCTAGGTTCAAATTACTGTCCCTGTCTGATGACATCTAGGTTCATATTACTGAGGTGTGTCCCTGTCTGATGACATCTAGGTTCAAATTACTGTCCCTGTCTGATGACATCTAGGTTCATATTACTGCGGTGTGTCCCTGTCTGATGACATATTGGTTCACAATAATGAGGTTTGTCCCTGTCTGATGACATTTAGGTTCATGTTACCTTGGTGTGTCCCTGTCTGATGACATCTAGGTTCACAATAATGAGGTTTGTCCCTGTCTGATGACATCTAGGTTAATATTACTGCGGTGTGTCCCTGTCTGATGACATCTAGGTTCATATTACTGAGGTGTGTCCCTGTCTGATGACATCTAGGTTCACAATAATGAGGTGTGTCCCTGTCTGATGACATCTAGGTTCATATTACTGAGGTGTGTCCCTGTCTGATGACATCTAGGTTCATATTACTGAGGTTTGTCCCTGTCTGATGACATCTAGGTTCATATTTCTGAGGTGTGTCCCTGTCTGATGACATCTAGGTTCATATTTCTGAGGTTTGTCCCTGTCTGATGACATCTAGGGTCATATTTCTGAGGTTTGTCCCTGTCTGATGACATCTAGGGTCATATTGCTGAAGTGTGTCCATGTCTGATGACATCTAGGGTCATTTTGCTGACGTGTGTCCCTGTCTGATGACATCTAGGTTCATATTACTGAGGTGTGTCCCTGTCTGATGACATCTAGGTTCATATTAATGAAGTGTGTCCTTGTCTGATGACATATAGGTTCACAATAATGAGGTTTGTCCCTGTCTGATGACATCTAGGTTCAGATAAATAATCTATGTCCCTGTTTGATGACATCTAGGTTCATATTATTGAGGTGTGTCCCTGTCTGATGACATCTAGGTTCATATTATTGAGGTGTGTCCCTGTCTGATGACATCTAGGTTCATATTACTGAGGTGTGTCCTTGTCTGATGACATTTAGGTTCATATTACTTATGTGGGACTGTGAAATCGATTAAAAGGTAAGAATCTCTGGAATAACTATCTAATGTTAGGTAAATGTAGTAATGAATAAATTGGCTAAATTTCTTTACATTTACCTGTTAGCAAAGGTGCCAACTAGAGATGATGTGCAGGAGCTTGCAGGGATTTGTAGTCTTGCATGATGTCTACTTTGATGCTAATTAGCATTTTCGAATCTAAGAGTACATAGAACCTAATATATTGATAAAAGTAATCTTGTCCAAGAGAGAAAGTTATAAAAACGTCACACCAGGGTAAGCCTACACAAAACACAGCCCTTATTTTAAGTGTTTCTAAAATCCCCTATGGGAAAAATGAATGGTGGAAAAACGATTGGAACCATTTCCCTGTTTGACCTTTAGGTTTTATGGGTATTATGACACCTCCACTGTGGGGCTCTATACTGGACATAGTTATTAATTATATAGCTCCATCTGGTAAAGAAACAAACTAGTGTCTACTCTGCAGCTGTGGCATCCTACCTATTCTATACCACATTCCTACATATAACCATCATCAGAACCCCCGACCCCTGCAAAATCGTTCTAAATGTGTAAAAGTCGTTTGTTCAGTTCTTACTGAGGTGGAACCAGGGGAGGTTGCTATGTAGACCTTTCGCCGAGGCTCCAATCAGACAGAATGATGCTTTGCAATGCTCTGCTCTGCTCTGTTCCAACAGTAATAATGTGAGTTTCACAAAACAACTTCCTCCGGTCTGAGTATCAGCCCGTCCTAACTGGGCAGATCTGCGCCTGTTATAAAATATGCACCGAGAATTCTTCCTCCGCCCCTCTTACTTCTCCCCGCACCCTTTTCTCTCCCTCTCGTTCTCTTTCTATTATTGCACTCTCTCCCTCTCTCGTTGAATCATGTCACCGTGACTTAATCAGTGGCAAAAAGTCGACCACGGACTCGATAGACAAAAGGCGTGGACGTAAAGGGTCAGGCACTGTAACTTTCAAGAGAGAAATATGACCTTCTAGTCCTAGTCTGTCCAGTCAATGTGATGTCTATTTTCACCGTCTGATCTAATTCAACGTTGAGCTCCACTTTGTGTCTGAATGCAACAATGTATCAAGAAGTAGCAGGGTAGCGTCCATTAGAATGACGTCATAATCGAACCCAGTTACAGTTGGTTACAATGTCGCACCAGGTGGCGGTCAAAGGGCGTCTCAGAGCGCCCTCCAGTGGCAGACATCAAACACTGCATCCCCACTACAATACCGGTACATCTGGCCCTTTTGGGATTTTAGTCCAGTTAGATAATGGCTATTAATTACAATAGCTAATAGAAGCAAATAAAATAAGGCTAGTAGGTCACATTTGAAGGTGATCATTCATATTCCGTCCCCTCTCTCTCTCTATTCGGTGTGTCTGACTAGATAAGAGAGGAAGATGTTTTTAGTGAGGTGTGCTGTCTGTCCTCGTCCGCCAGGGGCGCAGCGAGACCAGCCCATTCATTCACACTGGGCTTTGTAGCTGAAGCCACCTACAGGCTCCCGGCCGATGCGACGCATGCATTCCCTCTCCTCAGATTCATTTAGAAAAGCCGACAAACAAAAATGTGTAGAGCAAGAAGGGCGCCATGTTGGCCACAAGCACGAAGCCAAATGTTGATGTATTTTCCGTCTTATTTTGGGCGGAAGTTATAATTGTGGAGGAGAGACAGTCGTTCTATGATGCTTTGAATAGAGAGAGGGATTATTTTATTTGACTTTCATTGAAATAAGACATTATAAATTAAACGCAACCTCTAGACTCCATCAAACCATGTTCTCTGTTTGCAGGGACACATACATTCTTTCATGGTGATTTTTTCTTTTAGCAAGGCTTTACTTCCCTCGCTTTGCTAGAAGCACTTCGCGCGTAAAGAACATCACTGGTTCCCAAATTCACAGTGTTCTGCACTGCGAATAGCGCTCCGTAATTGGCCGAGAGCACATCAATCATGCGTTTAGCCGCACCCCTCCCCCATTCAACCAGTCTGGTGGCTGTTCCTGTGTGTTTACTACACGGACCAGGCGGCAGCAGACACTTGGCTTCACATGCACTCAACTCACAACAGCTAGCTAGCTAAACACTTTATAGTTCCATCTGAAACAGAATCGCCCAGAATCCAACATGCCCAAGAGAAAGGTACGTAGTTTGGTGACTATTTAGAGAGGATTGTGAAACCAGAAAAGCAGGCAGCTATTGATAGCTTGCAAATGAATGTGGAGAGCCATCCCCTCTCCAACGATTACTTAATTATAAACCTATTTATTCGGGGAATTTATGATATTTATTTGGAGGGTATTTTCTAAAAAATAATATGTAATGTTTTAGTGTTTAAATTACTTTTTCTGATCGCTTGCGGGCTTAAAAGTCTGTTTTCCACCGGCAGTCGCTGTCCTTTGGGAAGCCAGAAGTCTCTCTCTGTCTCCATGTAGTTAAAGCACAACCAGCAGCCATGCTTTGCAGCCCAAGTCTTCTTCGACCTACCGAACAGAAACGCTTCAGTTACCGCCATTTTCCCCTCAATCCGCCCAAAATGACTTCGAGAATTCGCTTTAGTATCTCTAGTTTCAATTCTGATCGTTAAACGATGCAATCGTCGTCGTATTTGGATACAATTGTATATTTTTTCTCTTTGTTCATGGTCCCAGGTGGCTGCAGTGTCGTGTCTCTACCGGCGGGCGGCGCTGCGGAGGCTTAACGCTGCTCCTCCCCCCTCGCTTATCCCGCCCCGCGCGAGTTTTCAAATCCTGCCTGAGTTCATAGAAAGAAGAGAGATGGAGAGAGGAGAGAAAGAGAGAGACAGATACTTAGGGACCCCAACTTTCAGTGTTACTGGTCCAAAAACACATAACCTGTTAACAAAACTCAAATATTACATTACAGTTAAATCTAATGGGTCTAAAAACAAGTTTATTTTAACATTATCTATGACATTTTTACTTTTTTCTTGAAATTGAAAAGTTATCTGGGGTCTTCCCTGACAGTTCAGAAATAGGTAATTTGAGCGACCGTAGACTGTTGCCTGCACTCCAGTAAAGTGATGTTGTGATAAATGTTGTTTATCTGTTGTTTGTCCTCAGCAGGGAGCCGCTGGCGACGCCAAGGAGGAGGTGAGACTGAGACAGACTCAACACTGTTACCTCCACTACAACTCATCCCTTATAATTACTATTAAATATATCAACTATTATTTATCAGCTCAGTTTCAACATAGTTGGTCTCGGACAGCGTGTGTGAGGGTTTGGATCAGTGTGTGTTGTGTGTTGACGTGTTTTCTCTTCCTGTTGCAGCCCCAGAGGAGATCCGCCCGGTTATCAGCGGTGAGACCAGCTACCATACAGACGTTATACACAACCTTATAACGCATCATATAACCTATACACGACCTTATAACGCATCATATAACCTATACACTACCTTATAACGCATCATATAGCCTATACACTACCTTATAACCTATACACTACCTTATAACGCATCATATAACCTATACACTACCTTATAACGCATCATATAACCTATACACTACCTTATAACGCATCATATAACCTATACACTACCTTATAACGCATCATATAGCCTATACACTACCTTATAACCTATACACTACCTTATAACGCATCATATAGCCTATACACTACCTTATAACGCATCATATAACCTATACACTACCTTATAACGCATCATATAACCTATACACTACCTTATAACGCATCATATAGCCTATACACTACCTTATAACCTATACACTACCTTATAACGCATCATATAACCTATACACTACCTTATAACACATCATATAACCTATACACTACCTTATAACGCATCATATAACCTATACACTACCTTATAACCTATACACTACCTTATAACGCATCATATAACCTATACACTACCTTATAACGCATCATATAACCTATACACTACCTTATAACCTATACACTACCTTATAACGCATCATATAACCTATACACTACCTTATAACACATCATATAACCTATACACTACCTTATAACGCATCATATAACCTATACACTACCTTATAACCTATACACTACCTTATAACCTATACACTACCTTATAACGCATCATATAACCTATACACTACCTTATAACGCATCATATAACCTATACACTACCTTATAACACATCATATAACCTATACACTACCTTATAACGCATCATATAACCTATACACTACCTTATAACGCATCATATAACCTATACACTACCTTATAACGCATCATATAACTTATATACCAGTTTATTACACATCTATAACCTCTTATTACAGCTTATAGCACATTTTTAGACTATAATTAAGCTTACAGCACATAATATACCACCTTATAACACATCATACAACCACTATATGCCAAATAACACATCTATAACCTCAGCTACAATCACTATACAATCATATTACACATTTACTATTACTATATACCAGGTAATTACACATTTACTATTACTATATACCAGGTAATCACATGTTTACTATCACTATATACCAGGTAATTACACATAACATATTCAACACAGCTACAATCAGCTTTTTAATACACTTAATACATAACTGACCCTGCTGAGAACACTATGCCATAACTGACCCTGCTGAACACTATGCCATAACTGACCCAGCTGAACACTATGCCATAACTGACCCTGCTGAACACTATGCCATAACTGACCCTGCTGAACACTATGCCATAACTGACCCTGCTGAACACTATGCCATAACTGACCCTGCTGAACACTATGCCATAACTGACCCTGGAACGCCTGCTGGAACACTATGCCATAACTGACCCTGCTGAACACTATGCCATAACTGACCCTGCTGAACACTATGCCATAACTGACCCTGCTGAACCACTATGCCATAACTGACCCTGCTGAACACTATGCCATAACTGACCCTGCTGAACACTATGCCATAACTGACCCTGCTGAACACTATGCCATAACTGACCCTGCTGAACACTATGCCATAACTGACCCTGCTGAACACTATGCCATAACTGACCCTGCTGAACACTATGCCATAACTGACCCTGCTGAACACTATGCCATAACTGACCCTGCTGAACACTATGCCATAACTGACCCTGCTGAACACTATGCCATAACTGACCCTGCTGAACACTATGCCATAACTGACCCTGCTGAACACTATGCCATAACTGACCCTGCTGAACACTATGCCATAACTGACCCTGCTGAGAACACTATGCCATAACTGACCCTGCTGAGAACACTATGCCATAACTGACCCTGCTGACAACACTATGCCATAACTGACCCTGCTGACAACACTATGCCATAACTGACCCTGCTGACAACACTATGCGTAGTTTATTACCTTACATGGCAGCTAATGTATTACATATGAACCCTTCTATAAGCACACTACACTTATCACTATACATCAGCTAATTCCACATATATTACATATTTAACAGGTTACACAACTCTGAACCAGTTTATAAGTCATGCAACCAGTTAGTAAAGTCCCACTGAAGCCCTGGCACCTATTGGTCAGTAGATCTGAAGCCCTAGCTCCGATTGGTCAGTAGAACTAGGAATGATCAGTGGTTGTAGAACACATGAGACTGATGTTTGTTCTCTCTCTCTCTAGAAACCAGCCCCAGCCAAGGCTGAACCCAAGGCCAAGAAGGAGAAACCAGCAAAGGTAAGAGAACAGAACTACAAACCCCAGGGTTGCACAATATAGAACTACAAACTCTTCAGCAATCACATTACAGAACTACAAACTCAAGAACAATCAAACAGAACAACAGACAAGAACATCACATTACAGAACTACAAACCCCAGAAGCATCACAAAAAAACAGAACTACAAACCCCCACTCCAGAAAGAGAAGGCATATAGTAGTCTTGCTACATATGGGCAGAGCATTCGGAAAGTATTCAGACCCCTTGATTTTTCCCCACATTTTGTTACGTTACAGCCTTATTCTAAAATGGATTTTTTTTTTATCCCATAATGACAAAGCGAAAACAGGTTTATCGGAATTTTTGCTAATGTATTAAAAAATTTACCGATGCCTTATTTACATAAGTATTCAGGCCCTTTGCTATGAGACTCGAAATTGAGCTCAGGTGCATCCTGTTTCCATTGATCATCCTTGAGATGTTTCTACAACTTGATTGGAGTCCACCTGTGGTAAATTCAATTGATTGGACCTGATTTGGAAAGGCACACACCTGTTTATATAAGGTCCCACAGTTGACAGTGAATGTCAGAGCAAAAACCAAGCCATGAGGTCGAAGGAATTGTCCGTAGGGCTCCGAGACAGGATTGTGTCGAGGCTCAGATCTGGGGAAGGGTACCAAAACTTTTCTGCAGCATTGAAGTCCCCAAGAACACAGTGGCCTCCCACATTCTTAAATGGAAGAAGTTTGGAACCACCAATACTCTTCCTAGAGCTGGCCGCCCGGCCAAACTGAGCAATCGGAGGAGAAGGGCCTTGGTCAGGGAGGTGACCAAGAACCCGATGGTCACTCTGACAGAGCTCCAGAGTTCCTCTGTGGAGATGGGAGAACCTTTCAGAAGGACAACCATCTCTGCAGCACTCCACCAATCAGGCCTTTATGGTAGAGTGGCCAGACGGAAGCCACTCCTCAGTAAAAGGCACATGACAGCCCGCTTGGAGTTTGCCAAAAGCCACCTAAAGGACTCTCAGACCATGACAAACAAGGTTCTCTGGTCTGATGAAACCAAGATTGAACTCTTTGGCCTGAATGCCAAGCGTCACATCTGGAGGAAACCTGGCACCATCCCTACGGTGAAGCATGGTGGTGGCAGCATCATGCTGTGGCTATGTTTTTCAGTGGCAGGGACTGGGTGACTAGTCAGGATCGAGGCAAAGATGAACGGAGCAAAGTATAGAGAGATCGTTGATGAAAATCTGCTCCAGTGCTCAGGACCTCAGACTGGGATGAAGGTTCACCTTCCAACAGGACATTGACCCTAAGCACACAGCCAAGACAACGCAGGAGTGGCTTAGGGACAAGTCTCTGAATGTCCTTGAGTGGCACAGCCAGAGCCCAGACTTGAACCCGATCAAACATCTCTGGAGAGATCTGAAAATAGCTGTGCAGCGACGCTCCCCATCCAACCTGACAGAGCTTGAGAGGATCTGCAGAGAAGAATGGGAGAAACTCCCCAAATACAGGTGTGCCAAGCTAGTATCATCATACCCAAGAAGACTCGAGGCTGTAATCGCTGCCAAAGGTGTTTCAACAAAGTACTGATTAAAGGGTCTGAATACTTATGTAAATGTGATATTTCTGTTTTTTATTTTTAATAAATTAGCAACATTTTATAAAAACATGTTTTTGCTTTGTCATTATGGGGTATTGTGTGTAGATTGATGAGAAGACAAAACAACAATTTAATCCATTTTAAAATAAGGCTGTAACGTAACAAAATGTGGAAAAAGCCAAGGGGTCTGAATACTTTCCGAAGTTACTGTAGATAATGTCTGTCATCCCCCCCATCCAGAAAGAGAAGGCATATAGTAGTCCTGGTATAGATGAGGATAATGTCTGTCATCCCCCCCATCCAGAAAGAGAAGGCTGTGAACGACAAGAAGGAGGAGAAGAAAACTAAGAAGGCAGCAGCGAAGGAGAACGCTGAGGCCGAGGCCGCTGAGGAGAACCACTCTGAGAACGGAGACGCCAAGACCAACCAGGTAATATACATTACTAGACTGTACACTACTGTACTATATACTACTATACTGTACACTACTGAACTATATACTACTATATACTACTGTACATTACTCTACTATACATACAGTACCGTTCAAAAGTTTGGGGTCACTTAGAAATGTCCTTGTTTTCGAAAGAAAAAAATTTTTTTGGCCATTAAAATAACATTAAATTGATCAGAAATACAGTGTAGACATTGTTAATGTTGTAAATGGCTATTGTAGCTGGAAACGGCTGATTTTTAGTGGAATATCTACATAGGCGTACAGAGGCCCATTATCAGCAACCATCAGTCCTGTGTTCCAATGGCACGTTGTGTTTGCTAATCCAAGTTTATCATTTTAAAAGGCTAATTGATCATTAGAAAACCCTTTTGCAATTATGTTAGCACAGCTGAAAACTGTTGTGCTGATTAAAGAAGCAATAAAACTGGCCTTCTTGAGACTAGTTGAGTATCTGGAGCATCAGCAATTGTGGGTTCGATTACAGAATCAAAATGGCCAGAAACAAAGAACTTTCTTCTGAAACTCATCAGTCTATTCTTGTTCTGAGAAATTAAGGCTATTCCATGCGAGAAATTGCCAAGAAACTGAAGATCTCGTACAACGCTGTGTACTACTCCCTTCACAGAACAGCGCAAACTGGCTCTAACCAGAATAGAAAGAGGAGTGGGAGGCCCCGGTGCACAACTGAGCAAGAGGACAAATACATTGGAGTGTCTAGTTTGAGAAACAGACGCCTCACGGGTCCTCAACTGGCAGCTTCATTAAATAGTACCCGCAAAACACCAGTCTCAACGTCAACAGTGAAGAGGCGACTCTGGGATGCTGACCATCTAGGCAGAGTTGCAAAGAAAAAGCCATATCTCAGACTGGCCAATAAAAATAAAAGATTAAGATGGGCAAAAGAACACAGACACTGGACAGAGGAAGATCGGAAAAATGTATTATGGACAGACGAATGGAAGTTTGTGGTGTTCGGATCACAAAGAAAAACATTTGTGAGATGCAGACCAAATGAAAACACGATGGAGGAGTGCTTGATGCCATCTGTCAAGCATGGTGGAGGCAATGTGATGGTCTGGGGGTGCTTTGGTGGTGGTAAAGTGGGAGATTTGTACAGGGTAAAAGGGATCTTGAAGAAGGAAGGCTATCACTCCATTTTGCAACGCCATGCCATACCCTGTGGACGGCGCTTGATTGGAACCAATTTCCTCCTACAACAGGACAATGACCCAAAGCACAGCTTCAAACTATGCAAGAACTATGTAGGGAAGAAGCAGTCAGCTGGTATTCTGTCTATAATGGAGTGGCCAGCACAGTCACCAGATCTCAACCCTATTGAGCTGTTGTGGGAGCAGCTTGACCGTATGATACGTAAGAAGTGCCCATCAAGCCAATCCAATTTGTGGGAGGTGCTTCAGGAAACATGGGGTGAAATCTCTTCAGATTACCTCAACAAATTGACAACTAGAATGCCAAAGGTCTGCAAGGCTTTAATTGCTGCAAATGGAGGATTCTTTGACGAAAGCAAAGTTTGAAGGACACAATTATTATTTCAATTAAAAATCATTATTTCTAACCTTGTCAATGACTACATTTCCTATGCATTTTGCTATATTTCCTATTCAAACTCATTTCATGTGTGTTTTCATGGAAAGCAAGGACATTTCTAAGTGACCCCAAAATTTTGAAGGGTAGTGTAATTTACATTATCCAGAGAGACTTACAGTAGTGAATGCACACATTTTCATACTGGCTCCCCATGGGAATCGAACCCACAACCCTGGCGTTGCAAGTGCCATGCTCTACCAACTGAGCTAAGGAAGACTACAGTACAATATACTACTATACTGTACACTACTATACTATATACTACACTACTATACTATATACTGCTATAATATATACTACACTACTATACTATGTTGTACTGTACACTACTGTACTATATACTACACTACTATACTATATACTACTATACTGTACACTACTGTACTATATACTACACTACTATAATATATACTACACTACTATACTATGTTGTACTGTACACTACTATACTATATACTACTGTACACTACACTACTATACTATATACTACTATACTGTACACTACTGTACTAGATACTACTATACTATGTTCTACTGTACTATATACTACACTACTATACTATGTTCTACTGTACTGTACACTACTGTACTATTTAATTTAATTTTTAAATTAAATAGTACTATATACTATACTATATACTACACTACTATACTATGTTCTACTGTACTGTACACTACTGTACTATATACTACACTACTATACTATGTTCTACTGTACACTACACTACTATACTATATACTACACTACTATACTATGTTCTACTGTACTGTACACTACTGTACTAGATACTACTATACTATGTTCTACTGTACTATATACTACACTACTATACTATGTTCTACTGTACTGTACACTACTGTACTATATACTACACTACTATACTATGTTCTACTGTACTGTACACTACTATATACTACACTACTATACTATGTTCTACTGTACACTACACTACTATACTATGTTCTACTGTACACTACACTACTATACTATATACTACTGTACTGTACACTAATATACTATATACTACTGTACTGTACACTACTATACTATATACTACTGTACTGTACACTACTATACTATATACTACTGTACTGTACACTACTGTACTGTACACTACTGTACTAAATGGTTTCATTTGACCAGTCCTGGTCAAAAGTTTTGAAAATGACACTATTAATTTTCAGTCTGCTGCTTCAGTTTTTATGATGGCAATTTGCATATACTCCAGAATGTTATGAAGAGTGATCAGATGAATTGCAAAGTCCCTCTTTGCCATGAAAATGAACTTAATCCCCAAAAAAACATTTCCACTGCATTTCAGCCCTGCCACAAAAGGACCAGCTGACATCATGTCAGTGATTCTCTCGTTAACACAGGTGAGAGTGTTGACGAGGACAAGGCTGGAGATCACTCTGTCATGCTGATTGAGTTAGAATAACAGACTGGAAGCTTTAAAAGGAGGGTGGTGCTTGAAATCATTGTTCTTCCTCTGTTAACCATGGTTACCTGCAAGGAAACACGTGCCGTCATCATTGCTTTGCACAAAAAGGGCTTCACAGGCAAGGATATTGCTGCTAGTAAGATTGCACCTAAATCAACCTTTTATCGGATCATCAAGAACTTCAAGGAGAGAGGTTCAATTGTTGTGAAGAAGGCTTCAGGGCGCCCAAGAAAGTCCAGCAAGCGCCAGGACCGTCTCCTAAAGTTGATTCAGCTGCGGGATCGGGGCACCACCAGTGCAGAGCTTGCTCAGGAATGGCAGCAGGCAGGTGTGAGTGCATCTGCACACACAGTGAGGCGAAGACTTTTGGAGGATGGCCTGGTGTCAAGAAGGGCAGCGAGGAAGCCACTTCTCTCCAGGAAAAACGTCAGGGACAGACTGATATTCTGCAAAAGGTACAGACAGGGATTGGACTGCTGAGGACTGGGGTAAAGTCATTTTCTCTGATGAATCCCCTTTCCGATTGTTTGGGGCATCCGGAAAAAAGCTTGTCCGGAGAAGACAAGGTGAGCGCTACCATCAGTCCTGTGTCATGCCAACAGTAAAGCATCCTGAGACCATTCATGTGTGGGGTTGCTTCTCAGCCAAGGGAGTGGGCTCACTCACAATTTTGCCTAAGAACACAGCCATGAATAAAGAATGGCACCAACACATCCTCTGAGAGCAACTTCTCCCAACCATCCAAGAACAGTTTGGTGACGACCAATGCCTTTTCCAGCATGATGGAGCACCTTGCCATAAGGCAAAAGTGATAACTTAGTGGCTCGGGGAACAAAACATCGACATTTTGGGTCCATGGCCAGGAAACTCCCCAGACCTTAATCCCATTGAGAACTTGTGGTCGATCCTCAAGAGGCGGGTGGACAAACAAAAACCCACAAATTCTGACAAACTCCAAGCATTGATTATGCAAGAATGGGCTGCCATCAGTCAGGATGTGGCCCAGAAGTTAATTGACAGCATGCCAGGGCGGATTGCAGAAGTCTTGAAAAAGAAGGGTCAACACTGAAAAATATTGACTCTTTGCATAAACGTAATGTAATTGTCAATAAAAGCCTTTGACACTTATGGAATGGTTGTAATTATACTTCAGTATACCATAGTAACATCTGACAAAAATATCTAAAAACACTGAAGCAGCAAACTTTGTGAAGACCAATACTTGTGTCATTCTCAAAACTTTTGACCACGACTGTATACTACTATACTATGTTCTACTGACCTCTAATCTCTGACCCTGCAGATGGAGGAGGCTCCCGAGGCGGAGAAGGAGGAAGCCAAATCTGAGTAGCAACACTGCCGACCCCTAACCCCCGACCCCCCCCCTCCCCCCAGCCTGCCCCAGTGTTCGTGGTCCCCCTCCAAGGCATATTGTTAACAGAGGAATATTTTTATCAATGATTTTATAAGTATACGATCTACTATCCATACAGATTTTTAGCACAAAGCGAAGCTGAGTAATATGATGCAGGTCTGCAGTGGTCATATCAACAAATTGTCTGCAGGCAAGATGATGAACACACTAAAATCTTTTTTAAACGGCGTTTCATGATTGTGTAGGAAGGAAAGCGCGTCCCGTCCCATAGTGAGTTGTGTGTTCCTGTGCCCCCTCCTTCCTCCACAGTTGGTTCTCCTAGGGTTCTACCTTAGTCCTGGTTTATTAACGGTTCTCCCTGATGTTCTGTTTTGATCCCGTCTGTTCTGTGCAGTGAGTTCCTTTGCTTTGTCTAAATGTTCCTGTTTTTACATTAAACATGTTCTAAGCGTGTAGAAAGTGTGTTGTCCAATAAGAAAGAGGAAGAGGATCATGAGAAACATTCCGGGCACAGTGACATGCTTGTCTCCTAGGCAACTACAGCAGCTGTGTCTGTGACAGCTCCCATCTTGCTGGTTTTCTAAAGACGTTTTTTTAGATGAAGGGTTCTCTGACGTGTGCAGGAGTCTGTCTGTCCCTCTGATGTTCTGGAATTCTCTAATAAAAAAAAAAGTCCTGTGAATTTTCCTCAAACCTTTGTTGAGTCTTTATTCCATCCTCCTAGCCCGGTCTAGTTGGGTCTTCATTCTGTGTGAAGGCTGTTGTAGTTCTGTTGTGGCTTCACTCACAGGTGTGAAACTAGCTCCTGACTAATCCAGCAGGAAACGAGGGACGTTTTTTTCAGGCACATTAATCCTACTCCTGGATTCTCCATTGATCATGCTTCAGGACTAGGCCCTACAGTGTGAATGTTAACCCCATTTCTCCTCACACAGCAGCTCTGTTAGGTATAATGCTCTATGGCAGTGTATAGACAGAGAAAAGCCTGGGTCGCAGGTTCAACTCATTTATAACAGTAATACTTTACCTCTGAGATAAATCGACCAACTTTAAAAAAGAAAGAGTGATACCTTTGACAGAAGCAATAAAAAGAGGGAAGGAAGAAAGAAGTATTGCATTGTAAAATTGTAAATGATGTAAATGTAAAAGTATTGGAGGAGATTCTTTCAAGAGCAGGCTCCATTTTGTCTCTTAGTTGTGGAGAGTGTAGTTCTGTTTATGACCGCTAGGTGTCAGCCTTGTCCTGTATCAGCTGTGAGAGCAGGGTGACAGTCTTATCTGCAGAGGGCTAAGAGTTAGTGTGGCAGCAGGCTTTTGTTCCAACCAAGCAATGACACCTGATTCAACTAATCATCAAATCCTGTTCATCAATGAGGAATGTATTAGTTGTATGACTGCTTGGCTGGAGCAAAATCCTGCACCCACACTGACACAGCTGAGTTAGAATCAGGAAACCATATACATAAATTACTAGTTGGGGAAGCTACTCTGAAAATATAGTTGACTAATTACTTCACACTGGAAGAAGTTAAGCTACACTAAAGCTATCCTTAAAGATGCACTATGCAGAAATAGCTCCGCCATTTCCTGGTTGCTAAAATTCTAATAGTTCGCCTAATTTCAGTTTGTGCCAAAACAAGCCAGTATAGAGTAGAGAACCTAATCTAAAACGCTGTGAAATAGATTTTCCATAACCAAAAATATTGTATTTTCAGCTGTTTGATGCTGGTGCACAAAACCCAAAGTAAAAGACGCAAAAACGAAACTTAAGACCGGGAAGCAGAGAACTGGCGTCGGGTCACCCAAAAGGGACATACTGTATCGCAGCTTTAAGAAAAATATAAGTTACTTTGAAAAAGTAGTTCAATACATCCAAACTACTTTGTAAAAAATTAGCATATCTAAATCTGAAATGTTAGAGAATACAAATTGCAAGGACATATCACACTGTAGTCAGATGTTAACAGAATGTGTAATTTTAAATTACTAAATTATAAGTAATAGCAGTTTTGTTCCCACTGTGACTATTAAAACCAGAAAACCGTGGATAGATGGCAACATTCGCACAAAACTGAAAGCGTTTTGTCGTATATGATGAATGTTGGTCGTCCTTGCTGATGAACAAAAGGGAGTCTGCTCATACTGAACATTGATCATAAGGTTTATTCAGATCACAAGCTTCAGCATGAGTAACAGGTGACATGACACCCGGAGAGCAGTGTCCTCCAATTCCAATGTCTGCTCTGACCTATCTTCTTCGTGTACCCCTATTTATAACCAATGCAACAAGATGGCTCCCTCTGCTGGCCAGTTTACAATACACTTCCTGTCTATTATATGTTACATTATACTAACAACCAACATTCCATTTCGTCATGAAAAACATTTAACAAAAGGCATAATCTTCAGATACGATATTCCCCCCTTTCGAGACGAAATAAACGTCTCGAAAACAAACAGAATAAGATTATGACTATTAACCATTTATCTCATTGAATATTCTTAACCTTAAACCCAAAAACATTCTCCTCTAGAGTGTAAATACCTTTCTATGAAATACCTGTTTATGAAGTGTGAATACATTACTATGACCCATGAAGAAATCTCTATGGAGTGTAAATACATTACTATGACATATGAACAACTGTTTATGAAGTATGAACACATTACTATGAATTATGAATAAATATCTATGGAGTGTGAGAGCGAAAAACTGTCCAGCAGCCATCCATCCATATCAATCAAGACAGTAAAATTCTCTCACCGTCCCTCTGCCCCAGGCAACCACCGTCGGTACTCCAGATAACCTCATAACTCATGTAAATGCATTTGAAACTATGATGTAATTAAATACCCATGTAAACAAAATCCTATCCATAAATATCCACTCTCAGGCTGGTCAACCCATAGGACCTGAAAGGGAATCTCTCCCTGCTTAAACATTCTGTCCCTAACCCCATCGAAACAAACAAAAGCATCTACGATCCTCATCTGCATTCAATAACCTCAAACATAATTATACTAAAATCAATACCTAAGAATATGACACAATTATGTATTACACATGTCTATATTTCATTGCAGACACTGGAATGTAGTCCACTACACTTCCTCTTCCTGTAGTGTCCTCTTCCAATGGACTTGTTGATGATGGAATCAGCCACACCATCCTTGTTTCCTCTCCTCCAGTCATATTGTCTTTGTTTGAGTATTCCAATCTCCACATGCTTCTCCCACATGCTTCTGGAATGACAAGAAAATAAACGACCAAACAGTATCCTTTGCAAAACAACCACTTTCAAATTAAACCTCCATTTCACCTAAGAATTTAAAAAATGATACATAAATGATGCATGAATCACATTATCCATTCCCCCCTTTGATTCATAAATCATACTAAAAATTATACTAATATTGAAAAAACAATTTGAAAAATCATCAAATAATCCAAAATGATATTTATCCCTCAGTTCCACTTGTCCATCTTTATCCAGATCAGGAACAGTCCACACCGGCATCTGAGTGTTGTCTCCAGGCACCACTTCTCCAACCTATCTCAATCTCATAACTTTCTCAAAAGTCAGTACAAACATCACACAGTGTTATCCAAGCTTAAACCAGAATCTGACCCATCACTGCCCCTACTGGCCTAATTGATCTTGCAACCAAATCCTTTCAAATGCATCCCTTACAATGCATCCATAACCCCAGTGATATTATCTGAACTATCTGGACTCACAGTAATACACTAATATTTATCAATATTATCTTCCCAAATGTTACACCATACCATGAATGAAGTCCCCCCTTCTCCCTTAAACTTATTCTTCAATGATAGGCTTGAAGACTATGACATGTCGCCATGTGTCTGCTAAATGACTGAAATGTAAATGTAATGTCACCCTTTTAACCCTAGATTTAGCTGTGTCCAATGCTATCCCTCTTATAATGGTAAAACCTCATATGGAAGCTTCAACGTTGACCTGTAACAACATCCTATCCCCATAGGGTAAGAATATACTCTATCATAATTTCCCCTTATCCTCTAAAATTCCCATAGTCACATTGTCAGTCAAAAGCTAATCTTTTAACCATCAAAGTCCTGCTCTTCTTACTACCTGATATATAAAAAGTAACCTATTATTTGTCATTACTACCCTTAAGGTCATGCTTATCCAAATTTATCACACAACATCACCCTGATCTTCCCATAAACATACCCCTTACCTCATATGTTTTGTTAGAGCAAAAACCACTTTTATCCCTCAATATTTCACCTGAATACTTAAGGTTTCCACTGTTACCTGACTTCACATCTAACAATTCCCAATAGGATAATTCATTTACCCAAGAACACTTAAACCCTACTGTTTTGACAACAACATTATTTTATCTGTCAATGACTGTTGCCAATTCCACAGTTATGACAAAGCTCAAAACTGATCCACACCTGACAGAGGCTGCGCAACCGTCCAACAGGTCCTGGATGGAATTCTCAACAGACATGGACCCTCAAGATTCCTCACTGATTCTTACAGAATGAGTTAATCTATCTCTAACTTTCACAACAGAGGAACGAGCAGCACTGATCAGATGCCCCCCCCCTCTGTCATCAAAATCAAAAGACCCCATACTGTAGCTTCCATGACGAATCTCTATTCTCCATTTCAGATTAATCTATATTGTTTCTATCTGCTCTATTTTAACCCCATTCGTACCATAACCTCCTGAGTCCCTCTTGCTACCTCTTTAATTTCAGAACAATTGTTGTCAGTATCATACTCCTATATTTGCTATTGCCATAGTATCATTAATCCCTTCCAAAGTTACCATTAAAGTAGTTGATTTAGCTGCTGTATTAACCCTAATTACTTCTAGTGCAAAATTTCCCATTATCCTCTGTGTATTATCTACTGTTGGAGTGACTACTGTCCATTCAGTTCTACTCCTCCTGAACTCCCTCAATGACTGTGTAAACTTCTACAGACTTCAAATCTTCCATTATAAGTGTTACTTTATGAATTACATTGCCCTTTAACCAATAATTCCTAACCGAAACAAATTTCTATGCTTTCACTAGACAAATACACATATTCTCCCTGATCTTTATCTGTAACCTTACGCAAAATAATCCCTTATTTGAGTAGGTGCAACAGCTCCTACTTCTGATCCTGCTAACAATACTTATCCTCCCTAATTATCTCTCTCTCTCTCTCTCTGTGAAAGAAACGTCATCATCCTAAATGGCATATTATAATTATTATTCTCCTAACCCTCATAACATTATTTTCCCCCTATAATTGATGCTGGACCCTTAATCAAATGCGATATATTTATGACTTTAATACCTATCAATGTTGAAAGAGTTAAATTGCTTCTCCCTGTTGTTCTAATAAACTGAAGTGTTAATGTCCTTATTTACTCCTAGTTTTCCCATAAGACTTTGAACTCCTTCCTTGTACTTCCATCTATCACCACTAGTGTCACTTTTTCCCCTTTCAGTTCTACCTCTAAACTTTAAACTTTTGATTACACAAAATACACCTAGAATGACCTTGATCTCCCTACTGTACAGTGTCATTCATTACTGTTCTCTCTCACTACTAACTTTAAACCTTAGCTTACTGTCTCAGAGTTCCTTCACCCCTAGTTCTCCTAACCTATTTTAATCTAATCTTTTCTCTCATAACATT